AAAAAAAAAAAAAATTGATCGTATTGACCATGTCTGAGCAGCTTTGATCAGGTTTTGACCAAGTTTGACTTTCAACGGGTAAATATCATCATCCGATCTGTTTTTAGAACCAAATCCAATTCAATCAGTTGAACTGATCAAGCCAGGCCAAGTTTGAAAACAGTGATTAGAATAAGTCAACCTTTATATATTGTAGTGTTTTTCACCATCAAATTAAGAAAGGTTTTACCTTAAAATCTTCATGGTATTAGAACTAGCCTTAGACTATTAGAAATCTTGGCCTTCATTATTGTTTTATCTTGGTTTTGCTTTCATTATAGCCAACTTATTAAGCTATTTCTTGAGTTCTCTTTGAAACTAGGATTGGCCTTCATCGCCAAAGTTAGCTTCACTTTAAAATGTCAAACAATTCAACCAATATCCAAAGACTCAATGCAATCTTGTTGCATCTTGTTTTTATTCTTCTTCTAATGGATCTAATGGTGAGCTTCAAAATATGAATGCACTTTATCATCTTGATGGGACAAATTACTTACAATGAAGCCAGATTGTTTGAAATTTTCTTAAAAGATGTGGGAAGATAAGTCATTTGATTGCTATTGCTCCACACATTGAGGATCCAAAATTCAAGGCATGGGATGAAGAACACTCCATGATCAGGTCATGGTTATGAAACTCTATGAAACCATAAATCAGTCAAACTTGATGTATTTTCCAACTACAAAGGCCATATGGGAAACTTTGCAATAGACTTACTCAAAAAAGAAGGATTTTGCCTTGGTCTATGAATTGAAAGTGCAATATCCTCCACCAAACAGGAAACATGTTAGTGACATATTACTACAACAAAATGACAAGATTATGGCTGGAGATTGACCACAATAGAGATATCCAAATGAAATGCAATAAGGATGTTCAGCTTTTCCCAGAGGTCATTAGGGATGATAGGGCATTCAAGTTCCTAGCTAGCCTAAATGTTGAACATGATTAGATCAAAGTTCAAATTGTGGGTAATAGTCTTTTGCCTTCTCTTCGTGAAACTTTTTCAACTGTCTGTGTTGACGAAAATCGAAGGAGTGTCATGCTGGAGTCACACTCAACCAAAACTTTTGCTTTAGCTTTCTGAAGGATTGGAGGAGGAAACAAAGCAAAGAATGATGACCTCAAACCAGATCATACAAAACAATCTAACAAAGATGGACTTTGGTGCACTTATTGTGAGAATCCATGCCATACTAGGGACAATTGCTTCAAGCTACATGGGAAAGCTCAAGTGTTAGCTTGAAATGGGGAATTTAAGAATTCAATGCAAAGTCAAGCCAATCTAACTAGCAAAGAAGTATCCCCCAAGAGATGGTGACTTAAAATGAAGAAAAGTTTAAGGAGTTCAATCAATAGGAGATTGAGAGGCTACGAAATCTTCTTGATTCACTTAACAAGACTTCAGGCTCTTGTTCTCTTGCTCAAGCTGGTATGTGTCTCTTAACTAAATCTCTTAAAAGTTTCTAGTGTTGTTTAATGGATTATTGATTCAGGTGCAACTGACCACATGACCTATAAGCCTATTGCCTTTGATTCTTATAAACCCATTTCGAGAAACCAAAATATTATGATAGCAAATGGATACCCTATTGCCATTGTTGGCTATGGAAGTATTTGCTTATCACCCTCACTTTCTTTGAGGAATGTTTTGCATATTTCAAAACTATCCACTAATCCCATTTCCATCCACAAAATTACCAAAGATTTCAATTGCAAAATAGTTCTTTTTGATTCTCACTCTATTTTTTAGGATTTGGCTTCGGGGAGGACGATTAGATTGGCTCAAGAACAAAATGGGTTGTACTATCTTAAATAGTTGCAAGGTTGTGAAATGAAGGAGAACCAACTTCTTTTAACCCATTAAATCCCATTAAATAAAATTGAGGCATGGACTTACCATCTCCACCTTGGTCACCTTCCTTTCTAGATGTTAAAGGGCATGTTTCCTAGCTTATTTAAGGATGTTTTTGTTCAAGACTTCCATTCTGACATTTCTCAATTTGCACAACATCGACGCGTCTTCTTTCCTCCAAGCTCTATAAAATGTAATAAACCTTTTTATTTAATTCACACTGATATTTGGGGACCTTAAAAAATGCCTAATGGTAATGGGGCAAGGTGGTTTGTGTCTTTTATAAATGATTGTACTCATACAACATGACTTTTTCTCATGAAAGAAAAATTTGATGTTAGTACTCTGTTTCTCAAATTTCATAAAATGATTTTCACCCAATTTGGAGAAAAAATAAGGAGAGTTTTCTCCAATAATGCTAAAGATTATTTCAATAGAACTCTCTCCTCACTCTTTGAGATGGAAGGAATTATTCATGAGTCATCTTATGTTGAGACACCCCAACAAAATGGGCACCTCTTAAAAGTTACTTGGGCAAGTTTATTTCAATCCAATGTTCTTGAAAATTTTTGGGGTGAGGTAGTCTTGATTGCTGCTCATTTAATTAATCAACTCCTCTCTAGAGTCTTGGGAAATAAAAGTCCTATCCATGCTTTATTTGATTTCTTTCCATAATCTTTTTCAATTAGAAGTTTTCCTTAAAAAATCTATAGGTGTGGAGCTTATCTTCCTATTCATAAGACACACCAATCAAAATTGGATCTTAGAGCTCGAAAATGTATTTTTATTGGTTATTCCCCCACACAAAAATGATACAAGTGTTATGATCCCTCCAGTAGGAGAATTCTTGTCTCTCTAGATGTCACATTTAATGAAACATCCTCCCCATCTCATCTTCAGGGAGAGAATGTTGTAGGTGAAGATGAACATTCTAGTTTCATTTCCTTTCTAGAAGAATTGGATGGTCTTAAATCAATTACGCCAAGTTCCCTAAACTCCCTAAGTAACCCAATTGAACTTGAACCTTTTGTGCCTAAACTCCAACAATAGCCTTCCTCACAACTAGCTATTCCTATAATTTTGCCTAATCCTGGAGTTACTACAAAATTACAAGAACAAAATTTGGTTTAACCTCTATCAAAACAATTGAAGCAATATTCAAAGAGAGTACAACCTGCACCAGTCTAGCAACAAATACATGAATCCAACTCAAGTTTAAGTAACGAAAATACTCCAATTATACCTTTATCTGATCTTACTAATCTATTTTTAAGTGATATTCAACCTAGTTTAGATCCTAACCTTTCTCGTCCCATTGCCATAAGAAAAGGTATAAGAAGATATACCCAACACCCCATATATAACTTTATATCCCCTCATTGACTTTCCTCTCACTTTCCTCTCAACACAAAAGTTTCTTGTTCACCTTGAACACAGTTGAAACTCCAAAAACAGTACATGATGCTTTAAGAGATAAGAATTGGGCATGTGCCATGATTGAAGAGATGAATGCTTTAGATAAAAATGAAACTTGGGACATTGTTACACATCCTAAAGAAATAAGAATAGTGGGGTGTAAATGGCTCTTCACAGTGAAATTTAAACCTAATGGAACACTTGAAAGGTACAAGGCAAGGTTAGTTGCAAAAGGTCACACACAAACTTATGGGGTTGATTATTAGGAAACTTTTTCTTCGGTGGCAAAGATAAACACTATCAAAATTCTTTTATCTCTTGTTGCCTACTTTGATTGGGGACTCCAACAATTTGATGTGAAGAATGCATTTCATCATGGGGAGTTAAAGGAAGAGGTCTACATAGAACCAACACCAGGATTTGAAAGAAACTTTGGCCTTGATAAAGTTTGCAAGCTAAAGAAGGCATTGTATGGATTGAAATAGTCACCAAGAGCTTGGTTTGAAAGATTTACTAAGGCAATGGTGAGATTTGGTTATAAGCAGAGTCAAGGTGACCATACTTATTAAACATTTAGCAAAGGGGAAGATTATTGTGTTATTGGTATATGTAGATGACATTATAGTTACTGGAAGTGATGAAAAAGAAAAAATGATGGTCAAGGTTCAACTGGTGACAGAGTTTGAAATCAAAGAACTTGGCAAGTTAAAATATTTCTTGGGAGTTGAAGTAGCCTACACCAAACAAGGAATATTTGTGTCTCAAAGGAAGTATGTGCTAAATCTCCTCAAGGACACATGCACATTGGGAAGTAAAGCCTCAAGTACTCCAATTGATTCAAATCATAGAATCGGTCGAGATGACAACGAAGGATTAGTCAAGAAAGGACAATACCAACAATTGGTTGAAAGGCTAATTTATCTCTCACACACTCAACTTAATATTGCCTATGCTGTAAGTGTGCTTACTCAATTTATGCATGACCCAAAGGAGGAACATTTATATGTAGTTCAATGAATTCTTCAATACTTAAAAGCATCTCCTAGAAAAGGCATTTTGTTCTTGAAAGGGAAAGAACTAGCAGTGGAGGGAAATATTGATGCTGATTATGCTAGATCTTTAACAGATAAAAGGTCTACTATAGGCAACTACACATTCCTAGCAAGGAATCCAATTACTTGGAGAAGCAAGAACAAAATGTTGTTCCTAGATTGAGTGCAAAAGTAGAATTTTGAGCCATGGCACAAGGAATATGTGTACTTTTATGGCTTAAAATTATCCTAGATGATCTGAGGATTAAGAAAAGTGGACCAATAAGATTATATTGTGACAACAAGTCTGCTATCAATATAGCTCACAACCCAGTCTTGCATGATAAGACTAAACACATTGAGATCGATAGGCACTTCATCAAAGAGAAGTTGGACAGTGGACTAATCACTATGTGTCATTTGGAAATCAGTTGGCAGATATTTTGACCAAAGGACTTCCTGCTTCAAGATTCCAAGAGATTACAAGCAAGCTGGGAATGGAAAATATTCATTCAACAGCTTGAGGGGGAGTGTTAGAATCCCTAAAATCTCTACTTGTTAAAATCCCTAAAATTTCTCCTCTAATTGATATGTAAATAGTTGTATCTTAGGACATTATTTTTCTTTAGGGTAGTGCTATAGGAACAATTTTTTTATTCAACTTTTTTGTCTCACCTTTTAATAAAACTTCTATATATCATTAAATAAGTTGATACATTCAATATCACAGATCCCACATGAATTAAAAAAACCAATCATTTTAATGACACGTCATATTATACAAAAATTTGAGAAAAACATTACACAAAAATGTGAGACAAAAAAATTATACAAAAATCATTTCTCTTTTCTTTATTTGATTTCCATTGTAATTAGAAAAACTATTCATATTTAGAATAGGTCAGCCCCTATAAACTGTACTGTTTTTCATCATCAAATTAAGAAAGATTTTACCCTAAAATCTTCAAATTTAATCATGCCTAAAAATATGAGAATCGCGTGACCACACAATACATCTTTATTATTTTATTTTGAGACAAAATTCTAGTTGTATTGCACGTCATCTACTAATTACAAATATTCCAAACTATACCTAACGTAAATTGCCTCATGTATGGATAGAATTTGAGCAATTTTAGAAACCGCAAGATTTTTCCTTTTCCCCCAGTAATGGCAAATCTATCCATCAAAAGTCAAATAGTATTTGATGTCAAATGCTGTTAGATGTGGAGGACAAGTTTCTCATATAATTCAAGGATGTCTTTCTTCTTGCGGCTCCTAAGTTGACGTAATTCGGACCCAAACCCTTGTTCAGCGAGATCTGCACGCAGTCTTGCAATGGTAAACTTTGTGTAGTTTCCCGAATCCACCTTAGAGCCTCCACTTACACCTTCAGTTCCTTCAGAAAAGGAAACCACATCTTCCGACATTGTGCATTTGTGTGGGGTCGCTGGGCTCTTTGTTCTCTTGGTTACCCTGACACCACCAATATCCATGGATTGTGCCATTTCAGAACACTCACTAGGAGCTTCTGGCCTTGAGCGTTTCCCATGAGGCCTTTTGGACTGAGACTCTAATGCAGCTTCGTCTAAGAAGTTTGGAGTTAATTCTTGCCAGAGAAAATCTACATTTCTCTGCGCTATTTCTATTTGTGTGGATGGAGCATCAACTGCAGTTTTTACCGCCATATGGGCTGTAAATTCAGATTCCAAAGCAATCCTTTGAACTTGAGCTGAGTTCAGCAATTGCTTATTGTTTGCTTTCAACAATGATTCTATCTCTCCTTCCTTCTCTTTCACTGTTGCTTCCAGTAAAGCAAGCTTGGACTTGGCACCCTCACTAGAGAGACGGTGCTTCTCAATCTCACCCAATAAATCCAACTTTTCTCCCTCCAAGCTTTTTATGTGCTTTTCTGCTTTTTCAATCTGGGAAAACAACTGCTCCTTTAGTTGGGTTTTCTGTTGCACCAGCAGACGAGCTTCTATCCTCAATGATTCAATAGTATCTTTGCTAACTTCATACAGTTTGCACAAGTCTTTAATATGAAGCCTCAAATCTTCTGATTTCAAATCACAGCTCTCTATCCCTGATTCAGCAGCCTGCGCATGGACAGACAACATATAAAATGAGTTCTAAAGGCATTGATGCCTAAGTACCTAAACATAGGGTTTGAAGAACAAGAAGATGGGAGAAGGTGCGCGAAGTAAATCAATAAAATAGTAAATTTGGATAATCATTTCCTAAAGCTTCTAGAAAGATTTCTAGAAGCTACAGTATGGTAAAGGCCAGTGGAATGTAGCAGCTCACATAATATGGTCGTCCCTGACATGGTTATAAAGGACAAGGAATTATATATCTTTGCCAGAGGTTTCAACAGATGAACAAGGTCCAGGCCATTAACAGCAACAACCACACAATAAAAGAAGGTGCTTACCTTTAACTCTGAACTTAAAGTGGTAAAATGTTGCCCAGCATCCACAAGTTCTGCAACCTCATTGATTTCCTCGTCCTGCTTTTCCAAAACCATAGTAAGTGGCACATACTTGTTTTGCAAGATATATCAAACAGGTATTAAAGTACACAAACCACGTGTAGCATTAAAATGTAGTGTGTGCATGTGTGTGTAGAGAAATGCACACCTTCTCTGCCAAATTACCAAAGAATTCCATTTGGAGAGCATTTACACTTTCCTGGAGTGTAGCTGCCTCCTGTAGAGCAGTTTTGGCTTCTGTAACAGCAGAATTATACTTGTCTTTCCATTCAGTTGCATCCTTTTGAGCAGATAGAGCATTTGCATTTGCATCAGAAGTTTTTTCTTCAGCTTCTCCACTGCTAGACTTAAAAATTGCAACCTCTCTGAGAACAGCATCAAACTTGTCTCTCCATTCATTTGCTTCCTTCTGAGCAGAGAGGACTTTCTCATTAGCAGCTCTGGCCTCTGTAACAACAATATCATACCCTTCTTTCCATTCAACTGCTTCCTTTCTAGCAGAAAGTGCTATTTCATTAGTGGCAGCAATCCTTTCTTCAGCCTCTTCATAGTTAGTCTTAAGAGTGGTAACCTCTCTAAGAGCAGCATCAAACTTGTCTTTCCATTCGATTGCTTCCTTCTGAACAGAGACGGAATTCTCATTAGCAGTCTGGGCCTCTCTAACAGCATCACAGTACTTGTCTTTCCATTCAATTAATTCCTTTTGAGCAGACAGAGAAATTTCATCTGCAGCATCAAACTTTGCTTTCCATTCGTTTAATTCCTTCTGAGAAGAGAGGGCTTTTTCATTTGCAGCTTTGGCCTCTTTAACAGCAGCAACATACTTGTCTTCCCATTCAGCTGCTTCATTTTGAGAGGGGAGAGATCTTCCATTAGCAGCACAAGTTTTTTCTTCAGCTTCTCCACTGTTAGACTTGAGAATTTCAACCTCCCTCAGAGCAACACCAAACTTCTCTTTCCATTCATTTGCTTTTGTTTGAGCAGAGACAACTTTTACATTAGCAGCAGCACTTTTTGCTCCATCTGCCCTACACCTAGACTTGAGAACTTCTATTTCTGACTTAAGCTGGCAATCATCTGCACTTTTCTTAGACAAGAGCTCTTCGTATCTTCTCTTCCACTCCAGGAATTCTTGCCTTGCAGAATCCTCAGTCTGGAGTAAAGAAGAACATCTCTCCTCCAATGAGGTGCATTTGCTGTCCAGATCAATAATACGTCTCTCATAGTAACCAGCAAGTTTCTTAAAGTCATCAATGGAATTCTCATAATGACTTTGATACTCTGCCCTAAACTTCTCACTTGCCTCCAACTGCTTGTTAAGCAATTCTATTTTATCTTCAACCGAGCGGCCTTTGAAAAGAAGGTTACTATTCTCTGATAAAACTTGTTCTATTTGCTTCTTGGCCTGGTTTAATATAACATCTTGCAAACTGAAATCCAATAACTTCAGATGTATTAGAACAGTAATTAAAGGGAGGATTTGTTCACTCAGACAGACTGACTCCTAGAGCCTTTAGAAATAAGGTTTACTTGAGACAAAAAATTTGTATAACCTTTTAGGATTTCAACATGTCAGACCTAAGCAGCTTAATTCATTAATTTTAATCAAGAGGGACTCTTATTCATGTTTCTTTTTAGAGTTTCTGCATGCCTACTGATAAATTCCTGTATGCATGATCGGATGATGAAGGGCTTGTAATCCAGCATGGTGCAAAAGGCTGCTTCAAGAGGCAAACAAGACAAGTTATAGACATCGAGGTTAACCTGCCAAGATGTTTTAGAATTTGAACAGACCTCTTTTGTAAGAAGGAGCACAACATTTTCCATTTTGTTGGGCCATGAACAGATGCTTCATATACAGAGACCAGACCATCAAGAACCTGAAAAACAAAATCATTACTAAAAAGAAAAAAAAAAATGGTGACAAATAATTATGCTGGCCATTGATTCATTGACCTAAAGAGAAATAATCTGCCTCATTATTGATGAGTATAGAGCAGCTTCGTGTGGGACATTCCACATAGCTTGTTAAGAGCAGCTAAATCATTATTCAGATGATACTAACAGCTCCGCAAACATGAGACTAGTCAGGTAACATTAGCAAAATAGTATGAAATTTGTTAGAGAACAAGTAGTAATAAGCAATAGTGAAGATTCATGTTATGGTTTTTTGGCATGTTGAATTGGTATAAGATTGTTGTTGTCAGTGATAGAAGGATGGATGAAATGGGTACCCTCCCCTCCACTGATTTACATGATTTAGAGTTAAGACAAAACTAGATCAAAATTTTGGGTCATCCACTGGGAAATACTAATATAAGCATTTAAAAAAAAAATAATGAACAAAATGAAATCACATTTACCGTGACAACATGATCAACTTTTGCATCAGGAACATGAGAAGCTGCTTGCAATTTCTTTTCCATACCTTGTATGGCATTCAAGCATCTTAAGTCAGCTTCCCTAAAAGCATTTCTTTTATAGTCCTGCATAAGCTCAATCTCAGTATAGCATCCCAAGGAAAAATATGCATAACTTCATTTGTTTACTAACAGATTCATCCAAAAATTCAGTAAGGATGGTACAGTGATAACCTCAAATACCCCAGTGAAGAAATTATGAAGAAGCACTTCATATTTCTGCCTCGCTGAACCAGTTCCTAGAGCATTCATGTTAAACGCAACAAGAGATTTTTTAACTGCTTCATCATGTGCTTCTCTTAGGAAAGCCTAAGATTACAACATTAGAATACTACAAGTCAATAACAACTATTTAAATGGTTGTAGAATGGCACTTTTCTTGAGTAACATTGACACAAAACAATTCTTACTTCTTCAGGAGGTCTTGCACTGTCAAAAGCAGACAGATAAACTTCAGTAGCTTCATCGTATGCCCTCTTACACTCTGATTCTTCTACACTCTGAAAAAAGGAAAGAAAAAGAAAATGAAAAGAAAAGGATTATCAAAGTGATTAAAATAGTAGATTTTATTAAGGGTTGTAAATCAGTAATGTTTCAAGAAAAATGAATGACTGGACTCACTTTCTAGGAGCTACTTATGATGAATTGAGGGAAGAAATAAAATTTTCATTAGGAATGCTATCAAGTTTTGGTCAATTCATGAGGCAAAATTATTTTTTCTGAATTGTAGCTAACTGGCCAAGACATCATTGCATTATTGATCAAGAGTACAGTAGATGAGATATAGAAGTTTAGGAGACTAAAAGCATAGGCCAATCACCAACCTGCCATGAGGATGATATTGTTGGCACCGAGCCATTCTTGAGGGCATCCAGAAAATATTTTGTTATTCCTGCAAGAATTGGTCCTGTCATGATTGCACCCCCTACTTGCTTGGGCCTGGTTCTCCCAAAGACATACTTGGTCAATGCATCAAGCCCAGTTTGAAATTCTGGATGTAAATTTTCCAACTGATAGAAAAAGAGTCATCACCTTAGTGAAAAGAAAAATCAACAAAATAAAAATGCTTAGTATTCAACAGAAAATAGCAGCATAACATACAAACAATTACTCACTGAAATTCTTTCAATATGTTGAGGATCATTTCCATTGTTGAAAGGGAAGCCAAGGCCGAAACACTCGCGGTCAGTAAAAAGAGCTCGAATAGACTCCCGAATCTGTTAATAGATATTTGAATATCTTAGCTAAGCTGCTTAGCATAGAAGCTTTTCTAATTAAGACAAAACTAATCTAATTGCCAAGTCTACCAATAATCACTTTGCTTGTTCGGAAAAATTTTGTCAGACCTCTTAGGGGCTCCACTTACACACAATTCTTACACATATCACTTAAACAAAATCTTGACTGTTCATCTCTCCACTATGAACAGTTCAGATTTATCCACTTTTTATCTTATTTTTTAAAGATAATTGTCTTTGTCATCTAAAAAGTCGTAATAAATCACAACCATTTATGGTGGAGAGATGAATGGTCAAGATTTAGTGTAAATAATGTGTGTAAGTGGATCCTAACTTCATAGTAAATGCTTTTATTTGCAATGAAGAATAATAGTAAGTTTATGGATGAATACCTGATTTTTGACAGCTAAATCATTTCCATCACCTGGCAGTGGCCTCAATTTTTGCTCAAGATAATCACGAGGTGTTATTTTTTCTTTTCCCTGGTTTAAATCCAAGTAGAAGTCCTGGAAGTAACAATTCAAAAATCAGTGAAAAAGAAAATGCAAATAGATGCCAATTAGTAGTCCATTGGCCCCTTCAGGTAGAAGTAAAAAGACTGACAACACATTTTAAATGATGAATGTAACATCACACACAGAAAAATATAAGACAAAAAATAATGCTGATGGTAATCACCCTCAGAAGCCAGACAAAAATTGGGGGCAAAGAAAATGGTCCAAGTTCACACAGGGTAGTCCTTCCTCCAGATTCATCAACATGGATAAGTTTGGTCAATTCGGCGACAATTGAGAGATGATCAAGAGCAGTTTCATTAATACTGCCAATCTGGACATAAGTGGGATCAGGCAAACATAATCAAGATTCCTTGAAATTGAGAATTCATGACATTTGTCAATGCTTAAGCACGTGAATTAGATACATGAAAGCAATACCCTGAAGCTTCAGGTAAATGAAGTTAATTAGCTTTAAATAATTTGTCCTGACCTGATTGTAGATTAACAAACTTGACAGGAGAATCACCGAGGAGAAAATTTGAGTTCTGTACAAGTCCTATCAGAGAAAAACAACAAGAAAAACTTTTAACTGGTTTCAGAGTAATTTCAACCAATGAAAATCATAAGGAATAAGGGCGCAACTGCTCAATTTCAAAACCCTTCAGTCAGAATCAATAAATAGTAGTTGCAACTTATGATAGAAATCTTTCAAGCAGATCTTTAGCACAAATTCTGCTAAAAGGAATTAGCCACTCTCCCATAAGAAAGAGACATTTAAAGAAGTAATTAATGCCATCCAACAAACTATTGAACTTTCAGCATCGCCTTCCTTTGCTAACAGTAAAATGTGAAAAATATGCTTTAGAAATAAAACGTTAATGACATGATCAACTTGAATTTCTAATGATTTTATTGAATTCATATATCCCTGTTCCAAAAGTTTTAGATTCATCCCTAATAGTTCAAACATAGATCTGGATATTAAAGAACTAACAGTAATAATAACTTTCCCAAAATTATAATTCTATTATCGTTTTTCTTTTTGCTCAAAGGATATTTAAGATGATATTGAACAAAACTGCAACAAAACAAGATTGACCAGTCAGACTATGTGACATCTGTTACAATTTTTTTTTTTTTTTTTGCCATTTTCAGGCATTTCTATATTCGAAAACAAGATCAAAATTTGAATTATCAATCATTGAAGAGTTTCAAACTCCCATACTCACAAATGATATCTCTTTACATACTCTTCCATAAGAAAAGATCAAAATGGTTCTTAAAAGAATTAAACAAAATGTTTCAATTGTCTAGATGAACACTTCAACACATTGCTATGGTAATCGTAACAAAGTAAAAGAATAGTGAAAAACCTAACCATTTGATCACAGGAATCAATTCCTTCCATATCCAACAGCAGAAGACTATATTCTGTTCCATCAAGAGCAGTTTGCTTCACTGGAGCACTCCACATCCAAATCCCTTCCGTAAACTGCCGATGGCTTGGTGCAACTTGAAATTTGCTAATCTTACCAAGAAGCTGTAACACATTGAGAAAAAGATTCATGTTTTAGTCATGATATTTAGCCAACATGACAAACATTTATGTAAAAGTACAAGGCAATGAAGAGATTTTCTAAGATACAAAACTTAATGCTGAATAGCATGATCAAGTTACTTCACTATGGATAATGAATTTCAAGCCTTTGGCGTTATAATCTGCCAAAAAATTAAGGGGAAGTACTAAAAAAGGCCAAACCCAGAAATTTTCTCCACAATATGAAATATTAACCACCCAAAATTCCAAATTTCCCACTTGATTCTCAGAAGAAAGGAATGAAAAATAAAGGAAAAAAAAAGAAGAGTACACTGAGGTGGAATACTGACAGGACTACCCTGAAACTAAAAATAAGACAAAACGTGCAATATGAAAAGAACCCAAGATCTCATTTAGATGAATATATTACAGATATCAAGCGCCAGGGTGATCCTTACATGGTTCAGAAGAAAGCTTTTGCCTTTACAAGCGGGGCCGCAAACAGAGACAACAGCAATGGGTCCCTTGACTCGTCTGAGCACATCAGTGGCTTCTGGGTTCATCTTAAACACCCCATTCTCATCTCTGTACACGAACCGCATTGGCCTGGCATGATCACTGGATGGCGCCGGGTTCTGGGATTCTGGATTAGCGAAAACCGTCAACAAATTCTCCGGCGCCTGCATCATCACCTTTTGTTCAGAAATCTAATTTCGATCCCTGATCGTGTTGGCGATTAATTGAAGAAGTTCCCTTGAACTGGATGTCGATTTGATTTTGGTGGTTTTGATTTGCATTGGAGGAAGGAGAGAGAGTTTGTACGGTGTGCCGCCAACGGAGAAAGAAGCAACCGTACAAAGTACGATTTTTTTTTTTCCCGTTGTGTAGGTAAACGCATAAATTACCAAGTTTAAGGGTGCGTTTTGGGACTGCGGATTATAACTTTTTCATATATTGTTGTACGTGATTATATATATATATATTTGATAATTTTTTTAAAATTAAAAAAAAT